AAAAATTGCTAAATTTAAGTATTTATTTGAGTGAGGTATTTAAGTGTTTAAAGAGCATCCCCACATCTATATTTAAGGAAACTTTTATTCCAGGCATAGATAAGAATTTGGGTGCTTTCAAAAAGTCCCATTAACCAGTTTTGTAAATCATTAAGTGATAAGTGTGGTAGTAAATCACTGGAGAAAGTCTTCCATTGTACCCCAAGAGGAAAGCTGTTGAGTGTTATGCAGGATAATCATTATTCCAAACATAGGGAGTCAGGTGTAGATCTGTCATGGAGAACTTTGAACTCATAATAAAAAGCCATAATTCATAGCACTTACAATCTGGAATATTTTCTTAGGGTTGCATATGTCCATGCCTTTACCGAGTACAGGGAATGTCACTAAATCTGCTTAGTCAAACTGACTGTATTGTAATAAGTGTTGTTTCCACATTTCTTTTCCCTTTTCCCAGCAAACTCCTGGCTCAGAACTAAAGCCCTGAATCTGCCTTTCCCTAAAGGAAAAACATCTTTTCCTTTTGTTTGCCTATCATTGTTACTTTTATGACCTCTGTCAGCTTCAGAGAAGTGCCCCATAGAAGACAAAAGAGCTATAGTTTCTGGTGTATGACTGATGAAGTAGGCATGTAGGCATGTCTGTAAGAGTTGGGGAATGGAGCTGTAACATACTTCAAGTGCTTCTATCTGGGGCACAGTTGAATATTATGCTAAATTAAGTTTGCTGACATGTACCTCAGACCAGTCTATGAAACGTCTTTTCCCATTCAGGTTTGTTAGCTTTGATGTTCTTGTCTGCAGTACTTCCAAAATCCAAAGGCTACCCAGAGAAGTTCAACATCTGAAGTTAAGTGTGAATTTAAACCAGTATAAATACCCCCTTCTGATTTGAACAGTTCCTTTGGTCTTCAGCATAGTTATTTTGATCTTGCAAATATTGGTAAAATTTGTGGATTTGCACAGTCTGCATTTTTGTTCCAAATAAGTTGTCTTAGTTTACAGCTGATATTCATGGCAAGTGCTGAAGAAAACACTTCACTTAAATATTAATTAGAGTGAGTCTGAAAAATATGTTTCAACTAAAAAACAGCTGACAGTTTAAAATCCTGACCTAATTAAAACTTCTAAATTAAGCATGTTGATCAATGTTGTATGTTAATTTTCCTCTCCATGTTGTGTAAAATGCTTTAAGCTGGCTGTGCTGTTCAGCCTAGGCAGAGTATGCCTAACTCCAAGGAAACCTCTCCCATTTGTTTGTTGAGTTTTTTTGTCCTGCAGCTTTAAGCCAACTCCCAAATGACAGAAATGGGATGTTTGACAGGCATTAGGAGTTTGTATGGAAAGAGCAGAGAAATAATGAGTGAGCAGGGCTGTTTTCAGCTGGAAACTAGAAGCTGCAGGGTTTACAGGTGGCTGTGGGATATCCTTTGTTAACTGGTCATGCAAATTGGATCAATAGGAAAGAGCTGATAGCGGGACTGCAAAAGGCAGTGAGTTTTGGTGAGTACAGGAACAGGCTGACAGTGATGCTTCCCTACACAGGGGTAATGTTGTTGCTGTGGGTTTTAATCTGAGTTAGATGGATGAATACAGATGTCACTAGAAAAGAATTTAAAATGTTCAGGTTGACAGAGGTTGTGAAAGAAATTTACAAGGGGTGATAATGTGATTGGTCACATGTTTGTTCTCAAACTATTTTTTCCCAAGAAAGCGCTAGCCTGGGTCATTCATGCTGCACAGAGTAGAGGGTGCCCATGATGGTTTCGACTGCCCAATGTACAATATCATGCAGCCATCGATTCAGACTAAGAAATAATCAGGAATTATGGGGTTTCTTATCCATGTGTCCAATTACCATTCATCAGCTTTGGGTTTGGGAAGGGGTTTGTATGAAAATAGAAGCATATACAAGTGGATGTGTGCCTGCAGGGTGCCCCAGTTTGTCCTTGCCTTTTGAGATTTTAAGAAAAAAGTATGAAATTAACACTTTTTCCACTGAATCTGATGCGTTGCACAGACATCACTGGGTGAAGGCAGAGCCAGGCTGCAGATATGGAAATGAAGGGGAGGGTTAACCCCTAGATTTCATTTTTAATGATTGAATCCCAAGCTAAATTTAGAGCATGTTGTTTATTACAGGCTCTTCTGACTCCATCAAAGAATCAGTTAACTGCTGCAGACAGCTTGGTAGCTGGGGTTTTATGTAAGCTCCTGTTTGGCAAATGCTTCTATTTGTCAAATGCAATTGAGTTTGAACTTCCTTGGGATATTTGCCTAAGGAGAAGTGGGTTTTGAGCATCAGCTTAGATATTGAAGTTGTTTCTATGGCCAATACCACAGAAAAAGACATAGTTTTTTTTATAGAAATTCAGTAAATTGGAGAAGATTAAAGGGAGAGGAGTAAAGAAGATAATATGGGGTATCAACAGGGATCAGAGAGGATAGTAAAGAAAAGGACAAGGAGTGGTGAGGATGCGGACAGACAGCAACAGAAAAGGTCTGGAGAAGTAAGATAAAAGAAAGTAGGCAATAGGGACTGTGAGGAACTAGAAGGGATTGGACTCAACTATCTGAAAATGCTCAGCAAAAGTCACATGTGTCTCCTCCAGTTATCTGCCTAAGAGGAGCAGTCTACTGTGATTACTGCAATTATTACTATGATTGCCTCAAGTGAGAGAGGTCTGTGCCATGATATTAAAAATCCAGCTCTGTTGACAGGCATTGATACAATTGTCTTTTATAAGATCTGGAAAAGGGCTTGAAAAATTCTGCCTGTGAAAATATTAAGAATTTAAAATCAAACTCTCGTCAACTGTGCCAGAAATAGTTTTCTGAACTGTTTAAGTTGACTGTACGTAATTTGCATTATCATAGTGTCTAAATAGAGCATAGTATGACTTTCTTTCCCACCCCACTGTCTTCATGGTTTTGGCTTACATTATATCACCTTCCATGACTCTCAGGGGTTTGTTCAATATATTGAAAAGTATTAATAATACATTTTGGAGGCACTACAAGTATTTTTAGAGGACTACTGACTTCTTACTCTGTAACACAAATCTGAGCCAAATTTCTTTACTGAACAATATCTTGAATTGAACCACAAGAAGACATTATCTGCTTGAAATAAACTGGAAGTGCTGTGTTTTCCTGAGATGATTCAGCTCTAAAAAAGGAAAGTCATTCATAAAAAAAAGTAAATTTATCTCATTAAATGTCTCTTTCAAAAGTTAATTTGATGTTTTCAAACTACTACATTCTGTAGGCATATCAAAAGATCTAAAGAGCTTGTAGGGATTTAGTAAAGTACCAGCTTAAAAATTAGCTAAAGAATGCTTAATGCCTCAGCTTTCTCACTGATTATTGTGTATTTTTAGTGGCTCCCTTTCTTTTAACTAATTAAAACAGTGTATTAAAGCTGTGTATGGTTGACATACACCAAATAAAATGTGTAACATATTAAAGTTAATAAAAGGGTAATTGCTGATTAATAGTTTAAAAATGACAAAAGGATCACTACTCTTAGCTATTTAAATTATTCTTGAAGCCTGTTAATATTGCTAATATTACCATTGTTGAATGCCTGCTACAAAGTTTTTGGTACCTCTGACTTTCATTAGTACAAAATCCTTGAGTGGTTCTTAATCACTTTACCAATTTTTAAGCAGCTTTGAGACACCACAAGAAATTACTCCTTTTAAACCCAGTAAGTCCTGACCTGTCATTCTTAACCTATCCTTCCTGAGACACAACCAGTGTGTAATGTTTAATGGGTGTGCATGTAAGTTCTAAATTCAAATTCAGCATCCCTACAGAGAATGGATTCAACCCCCACCATCACTACCCCAGAGGTACACAACTTCCAAAAGGGTAAATATGTAAAAATTAGGAATTTGTTAAATTTAACCTCAAGTAAGTAAAGCTTTGAGGGAAAATGACGTTGATGTAAAACTGCACACTGGAAACCCAGCAGTGCACCACTTGTTAAGAAGGCTTAAATAAGGGTGAAAAGGAAGCAAGCATGTCTAATCAAAACAATAAGTAGATTATTAGAATAAGAAGGCATCTTTCAAAAAAGATGGAATTGTATCCAAACGAGGAAAAGACAAAGGATTTCAAACTCTGACAGATTAATTGTACAAATGCAATAGTGCATGTCAGAACACAGCTAAAGGAACAATGAGCTAAAAGGATCAAATGAATATTAAATTTTCTTGCAGACATATGAAGAGCAGGAAGCATACTAGAGAGACCTCAGAGCCAAAGAGTGCTCATGGCATTGAAGCACTGAGAGGGCAAGAACACTGCTGAGAAGCCAAATACATTCCTTACATAAGCTTTCATTGTGAACTAAATTGGAGATCCCTGTTAGATCCCTTTGGAGAGAGAAGGTGTTCCTCAGAGAGTATGTCTCATTTAGGTGGCTGGAGAGGTCAAGGACACATTGATGATGAAATCCTAGCTAATGATGGACAGTGTTTATGCCTGGGCTTTAAGAGAAGTCAGGGATGAAATTGTTGAATTGACAGTGGTAATGTGTAGCCACTTCATTTAAAACTATTTTGGTACATGATGACTGGAATGATGGCAGATATTATATCAGTCTTTAAAACAGGTTCCAGGGAGAAGGAAGGAAACCATACATCTGTAGTACAAGATTTAAACCAAACAAGTTAGTAAAACTCTGAGAAATAATTTAATTGATGGACAAGTGCATATGTCTGATTTGTGTGGGGAAGATGGCTGATTCATAGTTAGTCAAGTCAGTTTCCTTCAAAAGCTCTTGGGAATCTAAAGAACCATGGGGTAAGACATGATCAGCTATGAGACAGGATGCAAGGGATGAAGGAAAATGTTAATTACAGCCTTCACCAAAGTCTGTGGGTGTCCATGCTCAAATATGTGCTAAATAAATGACAGGGGAAGGAGAAGACAAGGAAGACATTGAGTAGGAAGTGAAAGGATTTACAGAGGATTTGTGTTCTTTCTGATAACAAGGATGAAGACAACAATGAAGAAGAAGAAGAGCAGAACTTTCTGAAACTAGTGACTGGACAGTAGAATGTTAGATGAAACTCGATGCAGGTAAAGGTAAGGTGGAAGAGTTCCTTCTTGTACAATGGATTCTGCACTGACCAGTGACATTCAGGAGTGAAGCCTTTGGATTATGAATAGCAATTAAATGGAAAATATACAATTCAATGTCTATTCAATAGAGTTCAAAAAATTATTTAGAAAGGAATGAAGGGAAAATCAATTGCATTATTTTGCATGCATAAATGCATTGTTCACTCTCAGCATTAATACTCAATGCAGTTCTGCCTCCCTTATTATAAAAAAACCAAAAAAACCCCAAAAAAACCTGAAAAAGATAAAAATTAAAAAAGAAAACAAACAAACAAACAGAAAAGCCCCACAAAACCAAAGAAAACCAAAAAAACACATAAAATTACAGAACATGCTGAGTTGCAAGGGACTCATCAGGATAATTAAGTCTTAAGTCCTGGCTCTGAGGACACCCCAAGAGTCATACCATGGGTCTGAGAGTGTTGTCCAAACACTTCTTGAGCTCTGTCAGGCTGGTGCTGTGAACACTTCCCTGGGGAGCCTGCTCCAGTGCCCAACCACCCTCTGGGTGAAAATCTCTTCCTAATATCCAACCTAATTCCTCCCTTGACTCAACTTCATGTTTTTTCCTCCTGTCTGTCACTGGTTATGTGAGTGAAGAAATTGGTGCCGGCCCCTTCTCTTCCCCACATTAGGAAGTTGCAGGCAACAATGAGATGCTCCCTCAGTCTCCCCCAGGTTGAACAGACCAAGTGACCTCAGCCATTCCTCTTATGGCTTGCCCTTCACTACCTTCATTGCCCTCCTTTAGACATTCTCTTAAGAAGTGAATGTCTTTTTTATATTGTGGTGCTTGAAACTTTATATTGTATTCAAGGTAGGCTGCAGAAAAAAAATAAAAATAAGTAATTAACTAAAACTGGAAAATCTTTTCAAAGAAGATAAGCGAGGAGGATTGAGTACATGCCAGAACTATAGCCAGTATAGTTTCCCAATTTGAAAAATAAAGGGTTTATAAGGTGATGTGATAGATGTCTTCAGAATCATGCATTGTATAGACATAATGGTAAAGATTGTGAGCTTGCTGTATTTTGCAGTGTATGGCAGGCTTCTAGCAGGAGTTGAATCCCAAACAAATGGAAGAAGGTGGGTTTTGGCACAGTTGGTGGCAGACTTGAAGAACCCATTTCCAAAGAATGTTGTGGATACTTAAATTTTGTGTACGATGAAAAGAACAACTTGGAAAAAAAAAAGCTGTTTAGGTTTTTAAGCTGACAAATCATGTTAGACCTAGACTGTGTCAATCTAAAACTATGTGGTGGTTAGGAGAGTACTTGAGATAAGTCTCGTGCCCTGTACTTACTCTTCATTGGCATCTGTTTACTGCCATTGTTGAAGAGAGGTTATGAGAAAGGAAATTGGTCTGTATAAGGTTCTCAATGAGCATGTAGGCTTTCCACTGGGATTACTCTAGAAGGATAAAATATATCGTTGTGATAAACCTCACCTGTTGGGAGACATGAATGAATGATCTGCCCTAAAACAAATGTAATCTGTGTTTTATGAAGGATAGTCTTAAAACTAGAGAATCATTCAGGCAAGATGATTTATTGTGGTCAAGGCTGCTTAGGGTTTGAAAGAGTTAAATGTGCTTAGTAGTCCAAAATAGAAATGGTACTCATTATTTAACCCTTGCACAATGCTTACTGCTGCCAAAATCACCATCATTCTCCAATCACAGGTGAAATTGGATCAACAGCATGGTGACAGACAGCTTTATTTGATTCAGGATTTGATTAAAAACATAAGGAGAAACAACACTGCTTCATACTAGACATAGAAGTCCATCTAATATCTTGCCTATGACAGAAGCCAACAGAGAAAGAAGATAATAAGGCCTAAGGGATACCTTCCTTAGATATCTAGATCTGCCCTTAGGCAATTTCTTATATGGAAACTGCTCCCTGTCTTTTCCTTTCTCTACATCTCTTCCAATTCTCCTGCCAATGTTTTGAATGATAATTGATCTGTTTGAAGTATTTTACATGTTGGGGTACAATTAGCAGGAGTATTTCAACATAGGATTTTATATAGTGACATGACATTTTCTGCCCTGTTCTCCATTCCTTACTTAGAATTTCCTAAAATGTGGTTAGTTTTGTGTTTGCTATTGGACACTGAGTCAAAGATTTTGGGGAAGTATAACTCCTAGACCATGTTACTGCATGGAAACATTGATTTCAGATCCTATAGTAATGGGTGTATAAACTTAGGATTACTCTAAATTTATCTGAATTTCATCTGCTATTTTATGACTTAGTAAACCTCATAACATCTTTCAGCTAGACATTTCTCTTCATTGTCCTCAATAAATTGCCTTATAATGCAGTTTTCTTATCCTTTGTGTGTCCTTTCACAGTGACCTGCAATGAAAAATATCTCACAGTGGATTCTGCCGGAGTTATTTCCTCTCCGGACATTATGCTATGAAACAATAAGCACACATGTAATGTAAAACAATTCCATTTATCATTGGTTTCATGCTATGCTTTTCTACAGCAGATCAGCAAATGCTCTGAAACAGTTTCTTTGTGGGAACTCAAGGGCTATGTTACTCAGAGTTATTAGGATTGTGACTGCTGTATTAAGGAAGGAAAAGCTTCAATGGAAGCCTGAGGCTTTTTCTACAAAAGTTAAATACATTTTATAACAGCATTGTTGGCTAAACTGCTTCAGGATCACAATACAATCAAAATGAACTGGGTGCTGCTCAATACTGTGTTTCTTGCTGCATGATAACATGCCATTGTATTGAGCTGTGAGAAGAAAACAGTATTTAACACGTTTGTTACTCTCCTCCATAAACTTGTATGATAAACAGCATTTGACACCACCAGAGGAAAATAAATGCTGGTGCAAAGCAAAACCCAACACAGAATAAAGTGGAGAACAGTATACAGTTGAAGTACTGTCCCATATGGTTGGCATATTAGCCACAGCCCCAAGGCAGCCCCAATTTATTGAAATTACCTACAGTCCCCTACAATCCCACCCACTGACAATATTGATTAGGTGAATTCTTTGTAAAAGGGGCTCTAGGTTGTGAAGCCTTTCAAATACCAACTGGTAAAAATTTATTCTCATTTTACAGCAGACTTTCTTACTGACAGACCAAACTGGCATAGGCTCATGCAGGAAGGGGACTGGGAACATGTGGCTGGAGATAAAGGGGGCACCCACAGCAGCTGACATTCTGTAAGTTCTCTCTCTCTTTATATATATGCCTTCTTTTCTCAACATACTCGACTTACACTGCATGATTGCGAAGTGTTCTTACTTTGGTACTTTTCTTCCTTCTGCCATTAATTTGAAATCAGCAGGAGATAATTTCTTATTTTGTGGATAGATAACAACACTAAATCTACTAAATTCATTCTTCTGACAAAGTATTTTTCCAAATTTGTGTATAAATGAGGGGAAAATACTGTACTTTTTCACCTGTAAAAGTTGAAGAACTTCATTAGCTGTGACATATTTTCCGTTTTGCTACTCGTTTTCTGTAAGAAACGTATAATATTAAGAGAATAGAGAATACTATTTAGAGAATAGTAATTACCAGGGAGTAGCAGTCCCATTTTGGTGGTTCTGCACTGCAAAGGTATCACTTGCAAGTAATCGGAGAGAAATTTCACTTGTGAAACTGCATCCTCAGACCTGTGATGATATATAAGAAATAAAAGATCAGGTTACCACAGTTAAAAGCCCAGTTTAACTCTGGTCAGAGGTAAAACACAATGCCATCTGCTTGTTTCATTCTTCTTGTGTTGAACTTTTGGAATTTGTCATAAATAACTGCAAAGAGCATAGGCAAAAATTAATTTAGATGATTCATTAAATGGTCACACTCTTTAACCTCTTTTTTTTCCAGGGCTATAGAACTTTTCTTCTCTGTACTTTCCACCTGGCCTTAAATCCTGAGATACAGGCACTGTGAAACTGTAAACCAGAAGATTTTCATTAATAACAGTCATAAAGGTGACTGTTTAACTGTTGTGTCATGAGCAATTAAGTAAGATTAAATGAGATTTTTAAAATAAATTAAATAAGATTTGTGCAGAAATTCTGATAGCAAGAATAGTAAAGACTGGCTTCCATGGAAGAGAAATGTAGTCCCTGTTAAAAAAAAAATAATTATAGGCTTGATATTAAAAAGGAAAACTAAAGAAAGTATAGTTTTCACAATCAGTGGAGGAACTGGAATTTCTATTTGTCTTCTACTTCTGCCAATTTTTTTTTGGTATCACATTGGATGAATGGCTCACTTTATAAAGAAGTTTTACATGGTAGTGATAAATGATAAAATGATAAATGATAAAATGACAATGATAAAATGATAAAATTCTGTTTTAAATGAAAACACAATGTTTTGTGTTGATCAGGACCCTAAAGATCATTTAGTTACAACCCCACTGCCATGGACTAGCACATCTTTTGCTATACCAAATTGCTCAAAGCCCCATCCAGCCTGGATAGTCTAAGTCTCATCTGTTTCTTCACCCTCATTCTTTTCACTTGTTGCTCCATTTTTCTTTATGTTACTATACTTGGTGTCTTGCTTTGGAAAGTATCTCTGGTTCCTTGTCCTTGTCCTCATGCTTTCCATTCCCCAAGCAACACTGCCCCAGACTCCCAGTTTGGGTTCAGCAGCACTCCCTCAGGGCTGCCCACCATGCTTTGACCCACAACAGGAGGTTCTTGTGTTGAACTCGTTTGTTAAGTAGTGGAATGTACCTGTTGATGAGCAAAACATACCTGAGGCAAGTTGTGTTTCACTGACCTGTCTAAGGAAGGTTTTCCATAAAGAGCAGTCATTTCTAAAGGAGTTCCCTACATCTCACAGATAACGTATCCTGGTTTTCTGCCCAGAGATCCCTACAGTGCACCAGGCAGCCTGGAGCTGAGTCTGCTCTCCTGCTTGCAGCTGTCCAGCTGGCAGGAGGGTCAGCCTCAGCTTCTCTCCTTGGGGACCCCATTTTCTATCAGTTACAAAGCTTGAGGAAAGAAAACATTAATAGAAGTCTGTCGACATATACTTTTTTAAATCTTTATTTTTCAAAAGTGGTAAGTTTTCCCTCCTAAAACTCACATACATAAAAGCAATATTGCTTGCTAAAAAGAAATGCATTTTGGTTCTCTTTTGCCATGTGAGAGTGAATAAATCTTGGGACTTATTACCTATATAATTCTAGAAGAAATTAAATATTTTCATTTTCTTATGATAAAGGAATAAATTCTACATCACAGGAATGTTTCTATTTACACAGTTCACAGTGGGGGTGCCACTGTACCAGACATTTTGAATAGAGCTGCTGCCCATCTGATAGGTGCAAAATAAGATGACAGAAATTGTCTCTCCCCCAAACAGTCTTTGTAGCCTCTTGAACTGGTATCTGAAAATTTCTCCTTTGCCATATGTAGTTTTAAAGAGGTGGATGTAAAGAATGGGAAGAGACTCAAGCAGGCCTGTATGGATTAAACCTGGTAAGCAAGACTGGACTTTACCTAGTCAGGATTTATTGTTTTCTGTATTATCTGTTCAGCAGAGGCCATGCAACTTTATCACCAAGCAATTTCCATCCACTATGGTAATTTATGTAAACTGTAACATAATACATTGCATTTTGAAAGGAAAACGATCTCTCTGTGTAAACAGTATAAAGAGCCAAACTTACTTTCAAGCTTGTACCTAATCTGTGGTGTGAACTTCACCTCTGAGAACTTCATCTCTGGCCACTGCATCTTGGAAGTCTTTTCTTTGGTGAGCTCTCCATCAAATCTTCATCACAGAGTTTGTGGCTCTTAACCTTGCTGCAAATAAGCAAACACAGAGCTCATCTTTTTTATCCCTCTGACTTCTACTTGTTTGTTTGACCCCTTTTTTTTCACCCTTAGCAGCTTCTTCCAGTGCTTATGATTTTTGTGTCATCAGTCTTAATTTAGTTCATAAATTCCAACCAGGATCTTTTTTTAACTGTTGTCATATATTAACACTGCTCTCTAAATTCAAATTTTCACTATTAGAATAAATTCTGTTGCATAGCCCAACAATAATTCTAATACCAGTGTTTTGTTATTAGCTTTAAATAAATATTCTGAGTGGTTTTTACAAACTTTCCACAACAGTTTAGGCTTTTTTTTTAGCAGTAGTCTTATATGATTTTTAGTTATGAAGTACAGGTCTTTTCTAAGGACTTTCATAATGCCAAATTAAATATGTATATGAACTTTACCTCCAAACCTGAAGAAAGTGAGGTCAAGGAAGACATTTATTTACAAAATAACCAGGAAATAAAAGAAGAACCAGTGCTTCCCTATAGTTATGTCTCTGTATGACTTCGGCCTTTCCAACACTGATATATCATATTTAGTAAAGTTTCATATTGGAACTAATGATGGCAATTTTTTTTAGTTTTTCTAGTGAAGCCTTTTAGAAGCCAAAGCACATCATCACCTGAGGGTAAGGGAAGTGTGTTCTTAGCCACGTACTTTGTAAAACAGTAACATTTTGTGAAGCTCCTATAAACTGTAATTTGTGCTTGCATTAGGAAGTTAAGGTTAAAATTACTCACTAGAGCATTTGTTTTACTAAAACTGATAAGAAGTATTTTAGATATTGTATTACTTTTGACACTATTAACAGCAGAATATTCTCCAGCATTTTTTATCCCCTAGTTACTGGATACAGATCCTATAAATCATTTGCCAGCTGTTGAGCTGGTAAGTCAGTGAGTTGCCTTTTTGATAGGAAAGTTTACTCAAATGTCATTTATATCAGACAATTATCGGAAATACCATAAGCCACTAACTCCAGATGCTGAGCGTGTGCCTCTCAGCCTGTAAAAGTTGATTTTACAAAAAAAAGTATTTTGTTCCATCAGCCCTGCTCAGGTAAAGTTCTCATTCAAAACTTGAATGACAGAAGGAAAAGCACAAATCATTTATGCCTTCTCAGGGCTCCTTTGTGACAGGCTGTCTCTGTTGAAGCCACTTCTGTGAAGGCAGTGTGAAGTAGGTCTGACTGAACTAGTATAAGCTGGTTGGCGTGGCGTGAGCAGCACAGCAGTGTAGGGCCGCACCAGGCAGAGAGTGCATCAGCTGTTCCATCACTTGGATGGCTGTTCAAGTGTGTGTTTCAACACAGGTCACACCTTGTAGCTCCTCTTACCCAGGCTATCATAGGAGGCTGTAGCAGTACTCCCAGTGAAGATATCCTCTGTGATTTTTGAGCTGAGCAATTCCAAGTGTAAAACTGGTGTGTGTCAAGTCCACTGATACTGAACACAGGGTCAATACCACCACCAGGTACTGAGGTATGGTGTAAAGAGCCATAAAAAAGCTTGAGCAGATGGATGTATCCACACAATGCAGTGAAGCAGCTGTGGGAGCAATGCAAGTCCTCTGGAGTGGCACTGACAGGAAGCAAAGCAAGCCTATCTCTTGCACATGAAGCTTCTTGGACCTCAAGCACAGAAATGCTCTGACCCATAAGCACTGCTTCTTTTTATGGAGACTGCTTCTAGGATATGCATGCCAAACTCCATCATGCACTTCCATGCCTTAGGAGAGCTTTTGTACAAAATTCCAGTTTCCTCAGTCCATGTCTTGCATTTGCTTAAAGGCATAAAAATCACAAATATGAATTTCCTGCAGATCCTGGTCAAGTATAATAGAAGAACATCTTGTCAGACATTTCTCATTTCCCATAGTAAAGGAAATCAGATACAATATGAACCTTTTATCTACCTTCTGCAAAACTTCATTATAAATATTTTTTGGTCATGTTGCCCTAATAGTCTTAAATAGTCTTAACATTCACTCCTTGAAATATTTTTAAGCCTTCCAGTTGTGTAGTGCTCTTTTTGAGAGAGGATAACCAGGTGTTATCCCCCCCCACCCACAAAGTTTAAAGAGAGTTGTGTCTCTCTGGCTCTATTTGCCCTGTCCCTTGCCCATCTGACTGCTCTGCCAATAGCTTTGCACCACTAGTCTGTCATCAGAGACTGTCATCACGGTGTCCTTGAAGCACAAGTGGCAGCCAGCTGCCCTTCCTGCCATGATTTACTGTAGAAAAAGAAAGTTTAAGAAAGCTGTAGGCAGGAGTCTGGCTGTGGAAGCTGCATAGGATAGGGACCAGGGCAGTCTTCTGCCCTGTAGGACAGAGATAGATGGGTTTCAGCTTGAACATTAAAGGGGGAAAGCTCTTGTTTTCCAAAACTAGCTCAGGAGGTGGTTTCTGGAGGAAGAGGAGCTGTGGAAGTGGAGCATAAGAAAGCAAAGTATATCTTATGGCGTGCTGGAATGATTATTCTTGTGTATCTCACCCTTGCAGAGCCATGAGGCAGATATGAGCAGTGTAAGCTTTGCTACCAGTCAGTACTGAAATTCACTTCTCAGATTGTTGTCCTTTCACTTACTGGTGCCGACCCAAATTTTCTCACATCTCTTTTCATGACATTCACCTTACTTGAAAAATGCTGCTATCCTTTCCTTGTTTTCTCCTCTGTGCTTACACAGTGATACCAAGCATTGGAGCAGAGTGCCTAGAGAAATTTTGGAGTCACCATATGTGAAGGTCACCATTTAAAAGATGTAGGTGTTGCACTTGGGGACATGGTTTAGTGGTGGGCTTGGCAGTGCTGGGTTAACAGTTGCACTGGCTGATCTTAAAGGTATTTTCCAAATGAAACAATTCTATGATTCATGACACAGCCCTACTGCAAAATGGCCACATACAGGAATCAGAAATGGGGCCAAGCTACAAAACAGGGCTTTAGAAATATTGCCCAGGCATGCAGAGATGGGGTTAAGAAAGCCAAAGCTCAGCTGGAACTGGTAAGACCATCAAAGGCCTGAGAAAGAGCTTTAGCCTCCACATGAGGAAAAAAAGGCCAAACAAGATGTGGGCTCACTGCTATTGATTTCATGGCCGCAAAGATAGAAAATTAACAAGTTGCTTCTATATTCTTAATTATAAAAACAAACCTTAACCCTTTAAATATCAATAATATACATAGATGAAGAAGTCCTTTAGGACTGGATAACTATATGTTCACTTGCTGGCATATGGCACACAAGTTTTTAGCACATGACTCTTTCCTGACTGAAACTTAAATTCTTAGGGTCATACAGCTTATAGTACTAACATTTGGTTAACCCTGTTTTAATAGCAAGGATAGGCAAAGTGATAGGTGTTTTTTAAAGAAAACACTAGAAATGAAAGAATATAATATATTTTAAAATTAAGTATTGCATGTCTTTGTGCTACAGAAAAAATACCTGGAAAACTTCAAAAAAAAGTGTGACGAGTAGGAAGCTAAAAGAAGAGTCTGAATTATTATTCAGTTCTTGAAAGATAAGCTCATCACCTGGATTTTGAGGATCAAATGAATATTTTTGATTAATAGTTTGATTTGCCTGATACAAAGCTGGATTATATCAATGAACAAGCTTTCATTAGTTGTTGCAACATCTGCTGCAGAAGGAAAATTACAAAGTAAAAGTATCTTTGCTAAGGCACCATTAAAAACTGTTCTGTTGAAATGTTTTCTGATTTCCTTTTAGCATTGGGCAATATGTGTTTGTGGTTTTGACTTCAACATAATGAAGTATAAAATATCTGCATGTACTTCAACAAAAAAGTATAACTTTTTTCCTCATAATGAGGTAGAACTGACAATTACTGGGAGATGCATGGAAGCTTTAGTTCCTTTTAAATACAAAATAACTGTTTCATGGCACTGTGTCCCAAGGCAAGGTCAGACATTAATTCAACAGTATTACACGAAGTAGAAGATAGACCACTGGACCTGTTGTTCTGTACCAGAAATACAGTCATCCCTTCTGGGTTGCTTAAAAAAAAAAAAAAAAAAAAAAAGGAGAGTGCTTTGACATTTAGAATGCTAATGTTAGAAGAGATGATGATCTAAAAAAAAAAATCACTGATTTATTGCCACAGCTCTGTTAAGCAGTGAATTTGTAATGTGTTGGTTAATGATGTAGATTTAACCATCCTCCCATCCTCAGCTACTGTTGCAGGAGGTTAACATCCCCTATCCTTTGATGATTTACAGCAGCAGTTCATGCAGAATTGTGTGACTAACAGTATGGAGCAGATCCAGCCTCAATGGACATGATGCATATTTCCTTCAACCTCTGCAGCTCTTTGCCAAGTGCACTTCAATTATGATTTGCATCCTCATTGTAAGTCCTGTCTTTCATGTTTCCTGAATAAAAACAATCATTGTTTGACACATGTACATAGGGCTGGAAACAAGTCCCCTAATATTATTTTTAAAACTGTTCTGTTGAGAATGAGAGTAGCCTTTTTATCCAGTAAGAAATTTAATTTGCAAAACAAGACTGGACTGAAACTTCTTCTGACTCACCTGTTTTGTACTGCGTATCTCCCATCTTAAGTGCTTCCTTTGTGTTCCCTTTATAAAGACCATCTGTTCTAAATAAAAAGTAAGTCAGGATGCTGTGTTTATATTCAAGTTCTTTAGTGCATGTAGATACTACCATATGGTTTTATTTAATTTCTAAAAGGAAATTCCTTCAAGGTCCACCTGTGCAACAGCTGAATAGGAAACCTGCAGAGCTATTACTGTTCCCAAATAAGTTACTTCCTGCCCAGATTTCCACACATAAGTCTTCCAAATCTGCAGAAAGGGTGTGTTTTGGCCAGTAGCTGATTTTCCACTGTCTCCCAGCTTATCCAGTTAAAAAAAATTCCCGAAAAAACAAGCCAAAACCAAACTCCAAAACTTAAATGATGTCCTAAGTATCAGAAGATGTGTGTGAGGGAGGAAGTTCTTTAGGCTGGGACCATCTTTTCATGGCATCATTGTCTAGGACAGCAGGATTGTATCTGACATTAGAACTCCTGGGAATTATTCCTACACAAATGCAGAGGTGGGCGAAAAAAACCAGCATCAAGTTAAACATATAGTTTAAATATTACCTGAACAGTTTCTTCTACAGATGCAGAAGAGAACCTATAAAAGTTCAGAACCAATTCATAGTAGTCTCAGTGCAGGAAAAGATTTTAAGCTATCTTTATGTTTGCCCAGGTTCAGAGGCCTGGGAGCCAGATGAGCTTTTGGTGTGACTCCATATAGCCGCAGGGCTAGAACTGGGTGGGAATGCTTTACCTATACCACACTAATTTGTGTGTTAAAAACTGTTTGAAATCCACCAAGATGATGAAGGAAGTTGTCTCAGAATCCCTAATGTGTCCGGGTGATCCTCTAGGCCACTTAGGGTAACCCTTTGTTCCGGTGTCCTCATTTATGCCAGAATATGTTACCCCGCAGGGTGACTGTTCTTGGAAAGGGTGGATTGGGTAGGATATTTCTATTTCTCCCTTTGAATCTTTTCTGTGTTAATCATTAAATATTTTGGAAAGCTCAGCCATGAGGTCTGTAACTTGGGGCAGTGGAAACTAAGGTTCAGGTCCTTGCTCCACAGAGCATGATGAAAACCATGAGAAGTGGACCATTCCAATGGCAGAGACTGGGAAATCTGCTCAGCCTTCACCTGTAGTCTGGTGTCTGTGTTGTGGAGCTCAATCAGACCAAGGAGTAATTTAAACCTCAGCCTGCCTTTTCAGCTATTTTAATGTATAGAATTTGGATCAGAAGTCCCTCCAAATTAAATTTCCGTCGATATTAACATATTCCCACAACCTTTTCTTAATCATTGGTGTCTTCTGTCAGTTTGGTTGGAGAATTCCCCATCATCTATATTGTGTATCAACAATGGTGTGGTGTGAAAATAGCCAGACTCACAGGACCAGCTGAGAATAGGAAGATCTTAAGAGGAAGAGATGTGCTAGTCCTAGACCTGCTGACAGGGAGAACCATCAGAGGATCACACCGGTAGCTTTCCACCTTTTACTGTATCACTTTCCTGTAAGGTGTATCCAGCACAAGGAAATACAGGAAATAGCACAGTATAACCTTATGAGAAGGATATGATGGTATGGAGATCAGAAAACAATATGATAACAACTTGGTATATGTGAAAACTAATTGTAGGAAGGCTGTGTTCAGAATAATTTCACTTATGCCAAAAGATAATAAAATGTCTAGAAAGTCACTGCCAAAGAAAACTAAGAAATAGAAAGGTTTTCCAGAGGGAGAAGTCAGAGCTAGTTCAGTTATTAATCTATTAATAAATTACTTTATGCAAGACAGAATAATCAGTATTATCAGTGATGTTTATTTACCTTATCAGAATAATAATATTTTGTGTAGCTCAGGATAGATTTACATTATTAATAAACCAGTAAAAGAAGAGATACCTTCCTAGACATTGCTAAGCTATATTTTGACTTGCTGCTGCCTTCAAATCTTCTTTGAAAATTAGACTCTGAATTTACATAAGAAAGCCTTTCCTATTATATAGAATGGATCTGCTACTTGTTTTTTTAAATAATATTCTAATTTTTGAGTGAACTTTCTGTTCACTCAATCACTGAACTTACATGTGCATCATTGCTGTAAATCTCTATTATTATAAATCTCAAATTTGTATTAATATTTATTTATCTGGCATGTGCATATTTGAAAATTCACTTTATCTGTTTAAAAAATACATTGTTATGACAGCTCTAATTTCAGGACATGGATTCACTGAACTCTTTTGGTTCCTTGTTGACTAACATTTGTGCTTTTTCTTTTTAGTTATTATTCATCTGTTCACTATTTACAAAAAAACATTTTTTTTAATGAATGGTAAAGTATTGGTGGGTGATGAATGTACTCTCTTTCATATGGTATCACAATCCAGACACTTTTCCAAGTATTAGAAAGTATACCCATTTTAACCCATTTTACAGGTCTTGCTGGAATATTAAGTCTCTCATTTTATAATCCTTTTAATTAGATCATTTTAACAGGGCAGGCTGAATACCTAATCCAAATAGAATTGTTCTCTGACTAAGGCATGAGTCCAGGATGCCTGGGCTACATGTCCCTTTTTGCCAAACTACTAAACCTCTTTGTGTGTCACTTTTTCCTTAAAAAGGAAATAACATGTGGAGTGTTAAAGTACATTTAGTATTAGAAAGGGCCTTGAAATGCTTGCATAAAAGATACCATGGAAAATCATAAACATTGGACTCTGTAGGTTCTTATCCATGAGGACTTTATTTTCAAAATTGCTATAAAGTTCCATTTAACTGTGCATATGAATGGGTTTCAGTATGTTCTACAAACTGAAAATAAAAATTCTAAATCTCTTTGAATGCATCGGCTCTCACAAGCCAAGCTTATGCCAAACTTGGTTTTGGATTAAAAGGGTTTTGAATTAAAATTATTTTGAATAAAAGGGATTTTTTTTTTTCCAGATATATGGCTAGAGATGTTGAGATAAGTGAACTGATGCTAGGCACCAGGGAAGTCCATGTAAATTATCCCAGACAAAGAGCCCCAGGGATGAGCTCTCACAGTTTCCCACAGTTCAGAGTGCATTCCTGCAGTGTGCACAGGCAGGTATTTAGTGAGCTGCTCACAGAGATGAGCTCGATGGGTCACCACTGGCATTTAATTCCTGGTGTTGCCAGCAGGGCTTGTGGAAATGGGGATGAGTGCCGGCTCTTTCAATTCCTGCCTGCAAGCCATTGTGTTACACTTAATTTAAAATCCTAGCTGATTTTAGGGAGGATTTGTAGCAAAGCTGCTCTGAAAAATGATGAGATACATATACCACTGAAAATCACCTTATTTTTACAAGCAGTACTCCAGTATGTTAGCTGTAAACCAATAAATGTGCCTTATATTACCATTAAGCTTTAATTTAAATTTGGACAAGGATTTAGGAAATGCAAGGGGTATGACACCAACAACAAGCAACTGTAATACCAAGGATAATGGAGACTGCAAAATGTTGATGACTTCAGCTGCTGACCTAGAGAACAAGCTCAGATCAAGAAGCTGAAAGAGCAGGGGAGATGGAAGTTCTGCCAAAACCATTTATCAAAATATTAAAACATTAATGATATCATGCATAAAATATCATTGTTATAGTTTTATTGCCGCAGTTATATTTCCCCATGAGCCAAATCCTGTTGCTATTTTCACAATAAAGAAAGAAAAAAATGTGTTTACCTGAATGGGAATAGTAGGATTACTGCATTCTCATGGGGAAATGAGAAGAATGCAGAAACACAAATGGCTGGTTATGCATATGGATGTAAATTAGATGGTGAGTGTAACTCACTTTCCCATGTTCTTCTTTGCCATTTGGTATCTGGTGAATATTATTCAAGCCCTTATAGCCCTAGAAAAATGTAGGCAGAATTATTAATTGTTAGGAAATAATCTCTCATGATTTTGAATTTATCTATTTCCAAGCAGGTCAAGTCCAGAGTTGGTTAGCTAATATAAATGTAGATTATCCCCATCCCCCCAAACCAGCTTTTTTTCTTAGTGTTTTTTACTAAAATTATGGACTATAAATAATTCAGAGAATTTGCAAGAACATGAAGTGAATTTTGACCTCCCAAGATTGAATTTAAATTTGCTCCTGGCATGAATAAGAAAACAATTAAATTAATAGGAAGAAAATCACATTCCCTAATTTCAAGTGGGATCTGAACTTTATTATCCCACACAGCAGATGAGTTGCCTTAACCACCAAACTGTTTGTTCTTCTGGCATGCCTTCCTCATTTCCAACAATACTTTATTCTGTACTGAAAATATAATTAAATACCTTACTTTTTTTTTCCCTTAGTGAATATTTTAGAAAAAATGATTTGTCAAAATAAAAATTTTAAAACTTCTTTTAAGTTTCTAATTTGCTGAACAGAATGATTGAAGTGAATCTCTATTTTAAACCTTTTGGTTACACCATGCCTTGGTTGTGCCTTTGTCCCAAATGCGCATTGTTTTTCACATTGCCAGAGGAGGACCTCTGCTGCTCACCAGTGCCTGGGAGAAGAGCTGGGGTGGAGGGGGGAGCAGAAGATGCTCAACTTCCCCCAACCTCATCCTGTTCCTGGACATGGATCAACTCAGCTGGATCCAACACTCTACATCTTCCTGAGCAGACCTCAGAAGTAGGGTAGCTGAGCTCTCAGGTGACTTTGGGTACAATCTGATGGCTGGTTGATTTTTTCTGTTTAATGCCAATCCTCTAGCATCCTCTTTCCTCTTAACAAGAAGTACCAGAAGTATTGGCAGTTGTAAGAGACAAGTGACACCAGAAGAAATATGAGAGATTATTAATGGATACCCATGATCGGCTTGCCTCGTTTTTCAGAGGAATTTTCCAGATGTTGCAGTAGCCTCACATCAGCTTGCAAGGTTATTAAATTGGTTTCATGCTGATTTATTATTACTTCATCTTTTCATTTTTGCTTATTACTGTTACTTGTGTACTTTTATACTTACTTTCTACAGAGGAAACCATGGACACATTTTTCAAATGCAATCCTTTCACTTTCTTCAACAGTAACAGATGACAGTCTCCACCCGCCTTTTGAGATAAACCCTGTTTTCTGCTTTAGAACTTTGGTCCACCTAAAACTGAAAAATAGTGAATATGACACATGTAGAGCCCTTGTGTTCACGAATAAATAATAGGGTGTTTGATTACTTAGTCAGCACGCAGTAAATGCTGCAATTAAAGCAGTATGGGTAATCTGTTTTTTAACTCTGTACCATCTTCACTGCTGTAATTTCATGTGGAAATACTTATAGTGGGTAAATTGATAGTTAATTTGACCTTTCCTACCTAATATTTCATAAATGTTAATGCAGCTTCTCCTCAATTGTCCTAGAAGCTCTTTTTAGTCTGATTACTAGTTCCACTTGCTAGAGAGGAGAGGAATATTTTTTATGGTTTTAGTACAGGGGAAAACCACATTTGCCAGTCTGCTCAGCACAAAATCCTAGCATAACTAATCCAGTGGGGGTGGGGATAACAATCTTACTGCAGTTGGGTAACTGGGGTCTCTCTATAAAATTACAAAATCAGCCACTGTCTTTGCTATAAACAGCCACTATCTAAGCAGTGTAGCAGTTACTGTTACTCTTTTGTCTTCACATTTGTGAGAGTTCCAGGTAAAGCGTCTCCTAAAAAGGACTTTATAAGAAATTTGATCTTTGAAAATTTTTTGTACTGAAAAATATTTTATGGTGTACTGAAAATAAAATTTTAATATAATGATTTTTTCCCATTTATGTTAAAAAAAAGTTTGTTTGAGAAATAAATTTGATGGCTAGGAAACCTTGAGAAACCAAGCTTGGTAGTGGTCTGAATTGAACTTCTAGCAACATATCTGGTTTTACATGTATTGAAGAATTGGATAAACTCTCATCAGTATCTGAGAAGTATAATTTCTACGTAAAATATACTTTACATGCAGTTTTTTGTACTTCCTTTCCCTCTGTTTTCCCCACTTTTTGTACAAAAGAAAACTGAGCACATAGGAACTTCAGGGGTTTTGTTCAAGCTGAAAGATTAGAAAATTTCCATGTAGCTTTTACCATTGCTTTTTGTTATTTTTACAGCAGAGACCACCTAAATACCCTAAATTGGGTGGTTGCTAGTGCTGCTCTAAACATCTGGCAGAGAAGTCTGCCGAAGGAGAATCGTTACCGTGTGATGACAAAATTAAAGCCTGCACAAATGGAGAAAATTGAGGTTGCTGAGGTTACCTCAAGGCATTTCCTGTCTGCTCAGTGCTTTGCCCTGCAGAATGGTTGTTTGTTCATTTTGATATGGCATCTGTATGTACATAAGCTCCAGGACTTCAAAATTGCAAACAGAACTATGTCCTAAAGTGAAAGGTCCCAAAGATAATTCTGCTCTTTTTCCATGCAACAGTTCCACAGCTGTTCTCAGCACGGATGAGGGGCTGGTGCCGCAGAAAACAGCTGCCTGGGGAAACTTGGTCTGTCAAGATGATTCAATAAAGAATTAGGGCCTGTCAGTGAAGGAAGTTGTTTTTCTCAGTCTTTTGGTGCTTAGGATGAGTTGAAGGAAAAGAGTATCTGCTAAAATTTTAGGTCTTACAGGTCGGTCAGAGACACCTTTGCATACAAGGTAATCTTTCCTTTGAGGATCCAAATATGTAAACGAATTCAGTGACACAGCATTGAAGGCCTAATCCTTTCACAAGTTTACTAAGGAGTCAAGTGTGCCTGGCAGGGGGCCAGTAGACTTTTTAGTGAGTTGCCCAAGGTCAAGAGGAAAATCACTGACAAACTTGCATTCAGAACTCAGGTGTATGTATCCCATGTCACATAGGCATGTTTCGTTTTAGTGGTGTGGATACACTGTTAGGCAGTTCAAAAAGCATAGTAGGTCTCTGATCTTGATAAAAATGCATGCATTATACTCAATTAGGCATGTTGTAAATTATATTAGAATGACATGTGACATTTAACATGGGCATAAATCCCTTCAGTGTCATGCAAATTGAAGATTACAGCTGTACACAATGAGCATTTTAAATCACTTTCAACACAAATTTTTATGATGACCTGAAGATCATTTTTGCCATTCATGTATATTTTAGACAACTTTGCAGTTCTTGAAGTCAGTAAATTAGAGGAAAGCTTACAGATTATTTTCCCAACATGCACATTTTAAAATGTTACCAAAATTTGCATTTAGCACAGTGTCCTGGCACACTGGCCACTCTCAAGGGGGTTTGCCTTGTCTGTGTCAGTGCATGATCCTTCTTGGCAGATGCAGTTTCCACATTTTTTCCCAATATTTTTCTCTTGAATTAATAGGATTAGCATTGTATTAAAGAAAAAATAAAGTCCCTATAACGACCATTTTGGTAGGAGTTTTTTTTATTGCATTTTCTGATTTGAATTTAGGTGGTTATTTTAATAAGAAATCTTGGTTTTGTATATCAGACATCAACAACATCCTTTCAAAAAATTTAAATCTTCAAAACCCCTGAATCTTAAAAAATAAAAATGTTTTCATTGTTGCAAATGTTCAACAAAAATTTCACCATGATTAATTTTAAAATTTTCTATTTACATAAATGTGATTATTCATGTGTTCAACACCAAATCTATGTTTACTCTGAAAAAATCAAAGATTAAAAATGAATATGGATTTTTTTGTATTGATTTGTTTTCTCCTGACCAATTACACTTCAAAGGAACTAATAGACTGAAATCAGGTTGTACCCTCCTGCCAGTTTATGTTCTTTCTTCCAAAAAATCATCTGCAGATAAGCTGGTGGTGAAGGTGGTGCACTATCAGTATGAGGAAATGATCTAAGCCTGGTTAATCCACTTTGACTAAGGTGATACATCCAACAAGCCACTTGTTTTATGAATGTTTATAGTTTCCATAAGTGCTTACTATGGAAGGTGAAAACCAAGTAGATGCAGCTTCCATTTTAAAATGGAAGTCTGCAGGTTTTTTTAAAATACTTTTCTGCATCAAACCTCCAAATGGGGTCCTTCTGGTCTGCAGGGACTTTCCCCACTGCCTGATTACTGCTAATGACACCACACTTAGCCAGTGTCATGAGCATTATTTCACTGTGAAATCCTAGACTCACAAGCACAGACTTTGATGATGTGCTGTGTCCCTGCACTAATTACAAGGGAATTTCAAGAACAATTTTAATTTGATCCTTGGCTATGATCACACACAGCTGTCATATTTCTGCACCTGTACAATTTGCTTTCTAGTGCCAAATTCTGCAAGTCCTGGCTTTTTGCAGCTCTGAATTCTGGGGTTTATTTGCTAGCTATTAGGTTTATTTAACCCTTGCTACCTATTAGATTTATTTAACTTTTTCAGTATTACCTGATCTGCAACGTTTTCAGAAAGCTACAATACTTGAAATGTGAGCACTGGGGAAGATAAGGTGAGGTGTAGTTCATCCAGGTGTAAATTATGTAAACCATATATTTTTATTTGATAACATTTCAATAAAGTGTGGGCAGGCATTAAGTGACATGACTGAGTCCCAGTGACAAGGGTTTGGTGCATTGTGCTCTGAAACCATTTGAGTGGCTGGCAGTGTGCGTCCTGGAGCCCTGGTGACTCGCTGGCACTTGGCTGCACCTACCAGTGGATGGAAGAGGTTCTTCCTCTGGTTTCCAGGTCCCCTGACTTTACTATTAAATATCTTTTAATTCAGTCTTAGAGCTGGAATGAACCACATGTCTGCACTTGTCAAACACAAGCAATAGAACTGCGGACAGACTGGATGTGAATGTCACAGCCATAATGCAGGTGACCTGCCAGACTGATATATCCTCACAGAGAGGTAAAATTCCCTTCTGTGCTGTGCCATGCAGTACAAACTGGGCAGGAAAATGGACAGTAGATCAGCAAAAGAGCTACAGTTATGAACACCTTGTTTGCCTGCTCCTTTAAAGAAGGTGAAAATCCTTTCTCCCTGGGCTGTGATGACCAAAGTGGCACAGACTCATGGTGCATCCCAAGAATTTGCATCAGGATGGGGATTATACCACACCTCAGATACACCATTTTTCCACCAGGAGGTTAGCACAGACACTTTCACTGACGGATTAAGCCCATTCACTGGCTGTAGACTTGTGTGCAACATGAATTGTCCCATATTTGCTTTTGCTGACTTGTCTGCAGAGGAAAGTCCAGTGTTAATGCAAAGCAGAATAGACAGAGATTAGGACTCATGAGCCTTAAAATTGCAGCTGAGACAGTGACTGTAGGTGCCACACAAAGCAACATGCCCATGGATGTGAGGAGTCACAGAAGCAAGGGAATGATGAAGCAGGAGGAGATGAGAGAAGCGTATCTAGGCAAGGAGGTGTATACACATGAGTATTTCCTCACGTAGAGTTTGTATGTAAAATTGAAAATAAGATGAAGTTACAGATCTGTATTTCCACGGGATTTTAGTGAATCAGGCTTCTCTCCTGTGGTTTATGACATTACTTTAAGCTTTTGATAGAACTGCAGTCTGGTAATTAACAACTGGTTGTAATTCATGCATTATATAAATCTGTCAAAGGCTTTCAATGATACCATAAACAATGAGAACATAAATTAAAAATTTAAAGTAAAAATCTTTACATTGCTTATAATTGGACAAGACACTGGCATCCATTAATTTCAATAATATATGAGGAAGATGAAAACTTGTATTTAGATGTTAGATGCACATGTAAACATCCATGCCCAGTGTATTCCTTTGATGGCGAGTATCTTTTACAAATACCATTTGTGTTAGAAAAGACAATCTTCAATTTTTTTTCAGATCTCTCTCTGTTCATCCCATTGATGGGATCCCACATTGGGATCACATTGTTGCACTTCATCTGTGCACCATAAGATTCTGAACCACAGCATATGTATTCCAGCAAACTAGAATATTCACATACAACAAACATAAAGCTAGCTGTCATCTAGCAATAAGGAAAGCAGTAAATATCTGATCTGGGAATGGGTCAGTGGGTATTTCATTGTCCTTGAGACAGATCAATAATAGCTTGTTTGCTGTATCTCTTGTCATCTTCCCTGGACTTGATGGTGTACTTTATTGACCCTAATAACTATTATAATACATCCAGAAGATATGAAAAATAAACCTCTTCTCTGTAATGAAAATCTGATAGCTTATCTGTCAAGCTGTCCTATGCAAAGAGCTATGTCCGTTCTGCCCCATCCCTCAGGAAATTCCCATTAGATATGCCACATGACTATGAACTCCCACAGAATTTTATAAGAAGCTCATCTTGAAAGTTCTCTATACAGGGGTAATTCTCCCAATCTCAGCTTTATCTTCAATAAATTGAATCCTGTTTCTTTCTGTCTTTTATTCTTATGACTTCTTTAACTTCTTTAACTGAATGGATTTTTCATCAGGGAAAAGGAGAGAAATGAAAGAAAACTAGACCCATAATGTACCTCATCACCATTCTGTTTCAATAAAATTAGATGATTATATGTATTCAGAGACTAAACCCCCCATTCTCATTGCATAACTTGCAGCCCAGGAACCAGCTCTGAAGTGCAGATTTTCCATCACTGTATAACTAAACTTCCTAAAACTAGTGATTTTTGAAGATCTTTCAAAACATAGTTGACCTTCAGAATTATTTGGATTCCAAACCACTAGGTAAGAGTATGGTGGTAGCAGTTTTGAGATGTGAATGTTTAAGGGCTGTTTCAGAATTCACATATTGGTAGTGTTTTCTTCATTACACACTACTTCTGCAGAAACAGAGATTGTTTGCTGGTTTTATATGAAGTCTTCACTTGCAGACTTTAAATATCTGATGTTATTCAACTGTCACTAATTGACATATAAATGACCTATTCATGCCTGCAGACCTCACTCTCATTGCCATCCCTGTAGACTGTGATGTTCCCAGCCAAGCACAGCTTTAGCACAGCTGAAGAGACACCAGCTGTTTCACAAGCTACCTATGTGCTTATGTGCTGCTATCAGGAAGATTCAGTACTGGTGCTGACCCTTCGTGGCAGGCTTCCAGGCAAAAATAGGATTATATTTAGAAGCTGGATTGCATTTGTTTAACTGAAAAAGCTTCATAAATACTTTTATTTTGAAATATTTCAAAAGCTGGAAACTGCCAGCAGCTGAGTCAAGAAAACGTTTGCTGATTTTTATTTGTCCATTACATAGCATCCAAGTTTGAGTGAGGGCAATTAGACATAATGTGCCCTTTTTGGCTGTTGTTTTATCATGGTGAGCATAAAGACTGACCGCAAAAGATGTCATGAGATTACTGTACCAAGAGCACTGATGCCATTCAGTCAGCATTTCAAATTTTCCTACTGAGAAACATATAGATAAGTCTAAAGCTTAGGTCAAAGTAATTTGACAATAAACTTCTACAAAATGAAAACAATATTCTCTTTGTTGGCTCTTTCTCTAGATAGGAACGCTTCAGTCTCCATTCTGTTTCCTGCTGGCATTATTTTTTGGAATTTCAATTCTGCCTTTGTGAATTTTTTAGGAATAGTGTAAGACTGGAAGAAGAAAACCTCATGAATGGATCCGATGTATTTTGGACAAAAGATGTTGGGGGAGGACTACAGAGCAAGAAATGGTCACTGTGACTGTCCTGATCATGCCATCCATTGTATAGCCTGGGTAAGTTAAGGTCACTCAGAAAAAAAATCTCCCACTCCCCCAAAGCCAAAAAGAAACCCATTTTGAGTGACAGTTTTAAAGCAGTAGAGACATCTTAATTAGAAATCCTTGCTGTGCCAACACTGCATCGTGCTTTGCAGTAGCACCACACTGCCAAATTGCATAGGTGAGGTGCAGCTCTCAGAGTTCAGACAAGTGCAGAAGAACACCAGAATATCCACAGGTCCCCAGTGTGTAGCACAGATCCTTCCTCTTCACAGTTTGCAGCACAGAGTTCTGGCATGGCTTAGTCACAGGCGGAAGATTTACAGATTTGCCCTGTCCATGCAACAGCCTGTGGTAATGGGCAGCTGCAGATTGAGGCCTGAGCAGCATTTACTCCACTGAATCTGGAGCTGCTTTCTCACTGCATCACTGTTCAGAGCACAGTCCAGCTACTTGAATGTTGTCTGTAAATCCCAGCACATTTCCAATAGACCATGGGAGTGACTTGCAATTAGATAAAAATAACATTGGGTGTATTTCATCAGCATTGTTATCAACTTTCAATGTTTAAAACAGGAAGGATTTGAAAATCAACATTTAAAATAGCTCACACATCACTTCATGTTCCCGGGTTTTATGGCTGAACAGGAGAGCTGTGTGTTTTAAAGACCACTTTACGAAGAGTGCTGTCCCTTGGTGCAGTTCAGTGACAGCTGAAGCACAAGCTCATCTTCAGACAGCTGAGACATCACAGCAACCCTGACATGTGACTGCTGCCACTCATGCACGGGACCCTGTGCCTTAGCCAGAGCTCCCGGCATTCCAAAAGTCCACTCGCGTGGCAATGATTTGGAAACAAAAGGTACCTGGTAGCAACAGAAACAGGCAGAGGTGAATAAAAGAGGAATGAGAAAACCCTAGGGATGCTTCAGCAGGTTCCTAGCTTTGTGAGCACCTTGAAGGCGTCTTTTCACTGCATGCATAACTAACTTGCTCAACAGAACCCTGCCCAGACTTTTCAAACTGCATTAGCACTTTACATTTAAGTATGGAAACTTCGTTGGTTTTAAAACTTCCTCAGCTTGGGTGCTTCCATAAAACACATAGACTACTAAAAATAATTAACTGTAAAATTAAATATATATACTTTTTCTGTAGGAATAGTTATGGGTTGCTACCTTTCTGCAGTCAGGCCAAGTGTTAGGAAAATATACAATGACAATTCTTCTATTCTGGCTAAAATATACTGACAATGATAATCCTTTATCATCTTACCACTGGGAAGGTCCATTTCTTACATGCCATGGGTTTAGTGCAGCATGAAGGTAAAACAGGCCTTACAATTGCTACTCCCTTCAACAGTGCCAGCATCACAGAGTAGAGACGTCACAATGATTATGACTGCTAGAAGGCCCTGGAAAACATCTCTACGGTGGTAGAAGAGTGTCACTTCCAGTATGATATTTGAATTATTTATCTCTTTTCCCTAAAAGCAGATGTTTTCTACAGCAGTAATCCTGACACCTGAGTAACAGGAAGAGAGGAATTTCTAATCAGGCTAAAACACCTAAGAATAAAACCAGTGCTGATTCAGACATGTGCAGCCCTCTCACCTATCACTTACCAGGAACAACAGAAAAACCACTGAAAGTGTGTAGAGTTGTGCAAAGAGAAGACACAGGAATTTTCATCACAGAGATGTTCTGAAGGCAGCCAAAATGGATAAGAACAAACCAACCTGGCTGGTTCCTTTAACTCTTCTCCTCAGACCACAGCTGTGGTCTGTCTATGTCCATAGCTGGCAAAGCCCTCCTTGCTGGGACAGGGTGAATGGGTGACTTGCAAAACCAATCACTGCTCTGACTGAGTGGTAAAAGAACAGTACTCAAAGGCTGATGAAATCCTGATTGTTCCCTGTTAGAAAATCTTACCGGTAGCTGGATCACCTCACAAGATGGTAACTTGTTTCATTTTAGAGAGCCTTACTTGAGTGCTTTTCTGCTCCTATTTCTTGGTATTGAAGCACATGACTATTGAATCTGGAAGCTTCCTTACATTAAGAGAAGGGAAGAGCGAGCTTCCCTAGCTCTAGGATGAGAGGCTCAGGATGGGTCCCAAGCCACAAGCACTTCAATCATCCAGTGAGTCAGTATCCTTTGAGGATGCCATTAATAAAAGGCAGAACATACAACCCTAATTTAGCACACATTTGGTTCTTAACAAAACTCAGCTCTATCTTCTGATGTTTATTTTTTAATGTTGACTTCTTCCCTGAGTAGAGATTCACCTATTTTTCTGAAGATAAGAGGAAACCTTCTCCCAATGCTTCTAGGGAAAAGTTGATTCACTAAATGTACCTACAAAGTTGATCCACTTGTCTCTTTCAACTAGCAAAGCTTATTCAAATCAGTCAGTACCAAAGGCTGCCCTGAATTTAGCCAGGCATTTTTATTTTTAGTCAGGACAAAATATCCTTCAGTTTTGTTGCCATCGAGAAATTTAGTCTAGATTGGAATTTAAAGATTATCCCTCCAGCCTAGGCAGAGTCCTTCTGCCAGATTAGTCTTCAGTAGATGAACATTGTCTGCAGAGTTTTACCAGGGCACAGAGCAAGGGCTTGATCTTCTGCAGTTTTTAATGACTGGGAGGAATCTCATGTTAAATCATCAATTTAATGACTGGACTACTCTGCTCACCCTCCAAATGATTTCCCTCCATCTGATTTGATTCTGCTGGGATTGTCCCACATATACATTGGTTTAGTTTTCCTCTCTGAAGAGATTAACGCTTGCTTTTGATGTCTTTAAACTTGAAGGAGAATTTGTGCTAGATGCAGAAGGGGTAAGCTGTGTTGCAGAGCTTCTAAAAGGGCTTAGAATGCTTTTGAGCAAAAAAACCCCAAACCTCTAGCAAAGATTCAGTAGTTTTCCAATGGAAAAATTTACCAATATAAATGAAGGGCAGATCCCACATACACCACGCTGTTGTACTCAAACTTCTGCCCACAAAGACAAGAAATCTTTCCAGTTGTGGAATTCTGAACCAGTTGTGGGAGTGAAGCAGGGGAAAAGGGTTCACTGGTCAATATATTCTACCGTATCCTATTTGCAGCAACTGGGAAGAAAAGACAAAAAGGAGCAAAGTTCTGGTAGTGCATACACACAGGTGTTTGCTGTTGCAAGAAAGAATTTGCAAAGATCCAAATGTAAGTTATTTCCCAGTTTCCAGCTGAATGCCCATTGGAATTAGAAGGCTTGATACTGTCAGGTTGTTGAAAAATATCATGTTTGCTACTGTGTTTGTTATTCAATTGTTAACAACTGTATTTATGGAATTGTTTTCTACTTCATTTTTTGTTTACAGCTTGCTGCTGCATCCTGTGCAAATCCTGTAATTCATTGACTAAGAAAAGAATTGTTTTGCTACAGCTTTATGGGTGTTAGGGGACTGGTAAATGGTAATACAGCTGGGATAAGAATCAAGGGAAACAGAAGATGAAGTCTCATATATCCTTTACCCAGCCTGGTACTAAACATGCCTACCATGTCTTTCCAGTCTACTAATTCTCATATGTGGCAAGTAAACAGAAACACCAAATACTGCTACAGGCAGACTGCATGCCAAGAATGTAGCTGGCACTGGGCTTTCTAACCCCCAGCTTCCTCTAACATCTCACACTGGGATGCTCAGTGTCTGTGTACACAAAACAAAGGTTTTCCTATTTCTAAATAGGGACCTAAGCTACCTCAGCAGCCTTTGATTCTATTCTGGGACAACAGACTGATGTAAGCCAGGAACTTTGCTTTTGATTATAACAAAGAAATGGCATGTTTATTCACTTGAATGCATTCAGTAAATAGGTAAACCTATACAGTTGTAGTTTGATTGAGACCTAAACACATCCTAAAATTATGCACAATAATATATTAAAGCAAAACAATGTATTTGGGCAAAAATTTAACTACCAAAATTGAACCTATCACATCAGTGCAATACCAGAGAAGGTTTTGAGATCATTTCAGACAAAATTTGTTAAGTTTTAAATGTAATTATGAAAAGATACAATCATCATATTTCATTTTTGTATTACTAAATACTGTTTTTAACAAATTTCTAAAGAATATTCTCCTTTATAATGTATAGGTTCTCAGTATTCTGAGTGTCTCTCAAAGACTTTGTGGTGTCACTTAGGCCTTCACAGACTTTGTGGGAAACTCTGTCCACTTTGAAATGAATATTTAGCTCTCCTGTGCTATGATGGGGTTTCTTGATTTCAAACACAGGAAGGAATCTAGGGGCAAAGGGGAAAAGTATTTCTTCCATAGCAGACCATGGGAAGAAACTTTTAACAGAATAGCACTGGTGGAAAATATCAATTGTACCTCAGGCTGATAAAGCCTTAAATATGCAAAATGGATAAACTTTCTCTGAAGCACAAGAGACTGTGAAGGTTGTTCCTCCTGGCTCTTTGAAGCTGTGACCTGGTCCAAGGAACAAATGCTAGCAGCAATGCAGAACACCCTCGTTCCTGTACTTCTCCATGTTGCAACAATATTTGTTTGCAAGGTATTTATCTGAACCTTCTCAGGTAATTAATTAGAATCAAAACTTTGACAAGTTTTTGTTTTAAGAAAACCAACACAAGAAGAGAACCCAAACCAAAAGAAAAGTTTGGATCAGTTTTCCATCCCCCATTTGCTGAGTCAATCCACAGAGATAAAACAGTTATGCAACACAAGTAAGGAGTGCAGGAAAATAGGAGCACATTTGTAGAGTGAAATATCACGCTGGGGGCCCATTGCCCATCCTAGGTGCACTTCAGGGGCTGCATTTCAGACAAGCACTAATCTGGTCTTGTATCCTGATTCTTATTTACCCAGACTGTTTATAGAACATATCTTTTAGCTTAATTTTCCACAGAGGTCACACTCTGGAACTGCTCCCCAACAGGAATCCAAGCATGAGAAATGGAAGATACCTGTAAAATAATTCATAAGGTGCCAAGCCACAGTACTCAGGCAGACTTACCCTTCACGTCACAGCTGGGGAAGCAATAAAAGGTGGGGAGAGACCATGGGCATGGTTTAAACTGGCCAAACACCATAAGTGAGAAGGCAGCCTTTGACTTATATTTGCTGGTTGAACAGTGCCAATTGCTCAAGGTACAATTGGCCCTTACTGGGCTTTGATGCCCTTTTACTGGAGGTTTTTCCTTCCATAGCACTGCCAGTGGCAAGGAAAGTGTGGGTGTTGCTTGTTTGCCTCAGCAGAACAAGGATGACCTAGTTTAAACTGCTAGGGGAAGTGTTTTGAACTAATCTGGCTTACATGGCACTGAGGCAGCAAAAGGTGCCCTCGTGAGCTCCCTTCTGGGCCCTGCTCTGTGGGCAGTGACCTTCAGAGAGGTGCTGAGATGTTTTGCGCAGGTCTGACTACCTGATAAATGAACATGTCATAAACTGTGACTACAGGGTTTGCAACTACAAGTTGCCTTCACACACTCATCTCCATACAGGCTTCCTGGGTGAAAGCAAGGAAAGTGTGTTCACAACCTAATGCAGAAGATGAGAAAGATGAAAAGCTTTCATTTCTTTTTGTTTTTTTCTTATGTTTTACTTCTACCTTTATCCCTTAACTGATTCTAAGCTTTTTTGATAGTCCTCTGTCTTTCACTCCACTGTTTTTCTTCCAGTGGGTATCTTTATATGATAAACCAATGCTCTTGTGCAACACAGCTCTCTCTGTTGGTATCTTCTGCAGAGACTATATTCCAAGCTGACAAACAGAATTTAAATGAATAGGTTGCAAGTAAGATTGTAAGAGAGCAATTGGATTAAAAGGTGCTGGTGACAACTAAGTGCAGCAGCAATCTTAAATGAGATGAAGAGTCAGTGAAGTTCAGAACAGCAGGACTGAGCTGCACACAGGGAATAGGTTGCCACCACGAGAAGTGGTGCTGCCTGAGAGGCCCAGAAAGAAGCAGGTTACTTCATGATATGAAGGATGGAGGGAAGGGGCAGACAAAGGGTTATAAGCACTGAAGAGAAAGGCTCTGCAAAGGGGATGAGTAGAATTCAGGAAATGGGTAAGAACATGAAGAGTTAGACAGCTCTCTGTTCATATGTGTACTGACAGATGTTGAATGAGGAGGGGGCTCTGTGACATTGGGAAAAAAATCTAGAGTCTGTGAAATCATATATTGAAGTCTTGTAATAGAGAACATTTTCTTATGTGGAAATTAAAGCTTAGAATCTCCCAGGTGGAGGTTCTGCTCAGAAACAGAGTATAACCATACATACTTAGTGGCCTTCACCAGACCCTAAGCTGGTAGTCCTAAATGTGCTGTCATATGACAATCCAGCTCCATGGTAACAGTTTT